GCTTTCTGTTTGATTCTTCATACTTCCAGAGTTCTTTCACTGATTCCTTCCCATCTTGATTAGCTGTTTCTTCTTACTTTTAGATTTTTGTTTGAACACTCCTTATTTAGTCTCTGAGCCATTAGGTGATGTTTGTGGATGAGATTCCACCACACCCTGTATCATGTGTCAGTAGATACAGTAAAAGGGTGTGCAGAATGACCCCCCTGTCAGTAGATGGCGCTTCCCGGGAACAGCAGCCTGCAGTATTGCTTTTGGGTCCTGCAACCAGCTCCTTTTCCTCTCGAGAGGCACTCTAGTGCCTCAGGTGGTGGATGGGGCCCTGGGACTTCCAGGTGTGTCCTTATTCTCCACCTAGTGGGGCCAGGTGGGGGTACGAGGTGGGGTGGAGCTGGGTTGGGTGAGCCTGCCCTCTAGCTCCACAAATGTTGTTAGCAGCGTTCAAAGATCTGTTCTCTGCTTCTGGGCAAAGCTATCAGGGAGGGCTGAAATGACCCCATTCAGCCGAAAAGTCTGTGTGTGGGGGTGGGGCTGTCTGAGACCTGCAGTCTGGAGCAGGCTTCACTCCTTTCCACCCTACCCTATTCTGCGGTTTCTCTCGGGCCTTTGCCAGCAGGCAGGACATCAAGCCAGTGTATCTCCCCTCGCTGTGATGCAGGCTGGGAGGTTCCCTGCCCAGGACCGCAGCCTGAGCTGGGAGCACAGCCTTCCTGTGGCAGGAGGACTGCACCTCAAGTATGCTGATATGCCCCTGAAGGCACAGATACCTTAGTAGGCTGTTCACAAATATCCCTTCTGTGCCCTGGGGCAATGTGATTGAGACCTGGGAATCCAGGATCTGGTCTGCAGGCCTATCCCTTGGGCCCTGGAGATCAAACCCTGACCCTTTGAAGGGGAGGAGTGCTGGTCTCAAGTCACCCACGGGTGCCCAAGCTGGGTCAATGTCTCTCCGCCTTGGGATTTTCCCCACTTTCCTGGAGTCACCAGGCAAGCAGCACCTGGAAGGGCTGAAGGGTAGGGAGCTCACAGTCTGAGTACCCCTTAGTCAGCTGTAGGGCCCTAAAAGGAAAGGTCCCATTCCCTGAAGATGCCACTGGGTGTTGGCTAAATTGTCTCTCTTGGCAGCTGGGGATAGGGAAGGGGAAGGGGAGAATGAAGCAATATGGCACCTGCAGATTGGCTGGGGTCTGTGGGGTGTGAGGTGCCCTGAGGGAGCTGGGAGGCTGGTGCCCTGTACCCAAGAGGCTCATCACTCACTGGTGGCAGCTATCTCTGGGCTGGTGTTAGGAGGTCTCTCCAACCGCTCAGGAGCCCACCAGCAGTCCAATATGCAAGAGGAGAGGAAATTTAACCACTCCCCCTACCCTTGTTGCTGGTCTCCAAGCCTCTTGGGGGCCTTTCTCCTTTCAGTTCTCCTCCACAACTTCTTCCTGTGGAGTCTCCTGTAGTTTCAGGCACCCTTCCTCTGACCCTCATCTGATCTACGTTTATCTGCCTGTTTATTTTTTTTTCACTTTCTTCTAGAATCTATCTTTCTTTGAGAGACACTCTGGCTGTCAGTTTTTCTCATCCGCCATCTTGCCCCTCCTGGACCAGCTTATGATCCACCTGTACTTTTGATTCTATCCTCTTAAAGATTTGCTTCCTCAATTATCTCCCCTACTTCTTAAATGTTTCGGTTTCCCCTTCTTCCTTCTTCTCATTTATATAATTTAACCATATGTATAAATACACCTCTTAGCACAGCATCTGGAAAATAGCAGATGCTCAACAAATGTTAGTTTGACTCTCCTAATGCCTGTGTCCCTTAGCCTGAGAAAAGCCGACTTCTGTCCTTGACACTGCATTTCCCCAAATTGCCACGCTCTATTTTTTTTTCATTCCAAGCTTCTTACAAAATCATTCTATATTCCCAGTGTCTTTCTTCTACTTATTCATCTAATTTTTTTATCTCACATTTTAAAATTGATGTAAGTGTTACATCAAATGCTCTCTTTTAGTTCTTACTTAACTTGACATCTTTATGGCATTTGACAACACTGACCACTTCCTCCATTTACATTTTTATTCTTTTTTGGATTTTTTCCAACACTTCTCACTTTTGATTCTCCTCTTTACTCCCTGCTTTTCCTCAATTTTCTTTGGTGGATACTCCTCTGTCTCCACCAATTGTTCCTTAAATGTTGGTAAAATCCATGTTTCTGTCCTTAGAAAGTTTACCTTTTCAATCTATACACCTTCCTTCTTTAAAAAGTTCACATCCACACCCAGGCCCTGAACTTAACACCTATATTGCAGACTGCACCCAAATCTATATCTCCTTTCCAGATCTTTTTTTCTCACAACAGATCTACTTCTACTTACTGAACATTGCCTCACACGGAATATAACCAAAATGGAACTCAATATCTTTCTCTTGTGCATTTTTCCTTTTCTTGTGTCTCCAAGTTGAGTAATAATGTCCCTTGTCACTCAGATCCATTCCCTCTGTGTACATTGTGTTTTATTCATCTTTGCATCCTCCACTTCATCCCCCAGCTTCTGGTACATTCAGTTTTGTTAAATGAATTAGTGAATAGCCAACAGAGCCCATTACAGTGCCCAGGACACAGAAGACACTCAACAAATATTTGTTGAAATAGTGAATAAATAAAAACCTTTCGAGGGAATAAATCTGTGAGCAATCATGGGTACTCTTGTTTTTTTCTATGAAGTTACATAGGGCATTTTATTTACCCAGTTGATTAATTGCCAAGAAAGCATTTGAGCCCATTCCCTATTATCAGCTTGCAAGAAAAAGGATAAACGGAATGTTTTATGTTTCTTGTCTATGTAGGAGAACGAATCTTAGAAGACTTTTATAAACAGGCATTTTCCAAATAGCATGAATGCAAAGCACTAAAAAAATGAACTGTGATTGTTGCTTGGAAAATGGTAGAGTGAATTTTTGACCTCAATTCTTTTTTTTTTTTTAGGAGGTGAAATAATTTTATTTCACAGTTGTCTTTAAAACCACAAAGACACTATTTTCTTCATATAAAAACATTAGTACAGATACCTACACTTTCTAGAGAATGATTACATAGACCCTCTCAAAGAAAAACGTACCCCATTATATGGCATCAGTGAGGCTGCTTGGAAACAACTCACTTCTGGACTGATTCCTAAAACATATACCATTCCACTACTCTGCAACTTTTGGTTCAAAGTATAGATTACTGTCATCAGTATGTGTTCCTGCATTTTTACATATTTGATAATGCACATATAAAATGGTTTATCACTTAATGTTCCATTGGTTCATCAGCTTTTTCTGCAGGTTCATCAGCAGGTTGAGCAGGCTGTGCCTCTCTCTGTGGTCTTTCTTCTAGACCTTCCAGGAATGGAGACACATCATCATCATCATAGATTGTAAACTCCAAGTCTTTACCAACAATTCCAATGGAAACATTCTTTGTAGTTAGGTCCTGCTCTGCAGGAAGTGTCTCTCTTAAGGCACGCAGACCATGTTTAACCAGTTCATTTAAATTGCACTCCATAAATTCAGACATATGTCTCTCCAAGTAAGTACGAGCTGACTGGGAACGGGCTCCAATGGACATAGCTCGGCAGTCAAAGTAGTTAGCAGATGGACAGGTTTGGAAAATGTGAGGGCCCATATCATCATAACCAGCAATAAGTAGCCCAACACCATATGGTCTCCGGCCATATCGTTGTGTTGGTATCTGGGTCTTGCTTCCGATTAGAGATACAAGATGAGACACAGGAAGTGGTCTGTCAAATACAAATCTGGAATCCAAACACTCCTGGCGCATAAAATTACACAACAGTCTAGCATCAACAGTAAGCTCCGCAATTGAGATACCAATATGGTTGTCAACATGGAGAATTTTTTTCTGATGAGCTGCAAGCTCCGACTGTGCCCTTTTCAAAGCTACCAACACTGCATGGGTTTTTGACTTAAGACCAACTGTGGCTGAACCTTGTTTAACAGCTTCCATTGCATATTCAATTTGATGAATCCTGCCCTGAGGGCTCCAAACAGTAACATCATTGTCATACTGGTTGCGAAACATGGTTCTGGCGCGGGCCTGACTGCAGCCTCCTGCAAACCTACGAATCAGGGAGCCTTGACCTCAATTCTTTACTCCTCCTTATATCCAAACCCTTTGCCACGTAACTAGTGAAAATTCCCACCTTTTGGCTTTGGTTTCTGCCATGTGATTTGCTTCTACCAACAGATGTTAGTGGACTGTAGTCATGAGGCTTGACACACACTGGGTGGTGGGGCTTGCCTCCTTGTTCCTTGTGATCACTGTGAGCGAACACACCTGGGCTATCCTCACTAGGCCAGGGGAAGGTTGAGTGACACACAGAGCACAGCTAGCCCAGCTGATCATCAGGAAGAAGCAAAGCCATCCAGTCCAACCCAGCCACGATCAGCTTCTGGAACTCTAGCCAACCTGCAAATGCACAAGCCCAATGAATACTTATTCTCGTAAGTCACCAAAATTTTGTGTGTTATTATGCAGCAGTATTTGACTAACACATGCTTCTTTTATTCCCTTTCTTCTTTCTCCTCTTGGCATTATGCATCCCTTCTTCTCTGCTGTGTTATAGGCAGTCCGTCATTGTGAAAATAATAGGTTTTGGGGTCAGAAAGTCCTAATTTTTAACTCATTCCATGAATGATTAGTAGGCCTGAATAAGTTACTCCTCTCCTTTGACCCTTGGTTTCTTAATCTGTAAAATAAGAAAAAAATACCTACAATGATTCAATAAGCTACATTAAGCATCCAGCATACAGTGGTGATCAGGCTGTACTCAAGAAACAAGTGGTAACTGACCAGAAGAGATCACAAACTAAGAAGAAACAGGTGGTTACTTACTCTTTCTATACTCTCCCCACACAAAATTCCATTCCTTTCCCTTAAATTTGCCCTCTTTGTTAGGCTCAGGCAGTTTTCCTCATAGTGTGTTCTCTCTGCCTCTACTACTGTAGTAAAGATGATCTTTCTTACTGTTTTTGTGGCTCTTGGCTACATCCATTCTCCAAGGACAATTCATTTTAAAGAGTATTTTTTATGTTCAGCCTTCCTGTGTGTGTTCTTTGAGGTATGTCTTGTGTGTTTGTGTATACACATACAGTCATTCATTGCTTAATGGTGGGGATATGTTCTGAGAAATATGTCATTAGGGGATTTTGTTGTCATGCCAATATCATAGAGTGTAACTCACACAAACATAGATGGTACAGCCTACTACACACCTAGGCTTTATGGTACAGCCTATTGCTCCTAGGCTACAAACCTGTACAGCATGTTACTGTACTGAATACTGTAGGCAATTGCAACACAATGGTAAATATTTGTGTATCAAAACATATCTAAAAATAGGTACAGTAAAAATATGGTACAGAAGATAAAAAATTTTATACCTGTACAAGGCACTTACCATGAATAGAGTTTGCAGGACTGGAATTTGCTCCGGGTGAGTCAGTGAGTGAGTGTTGAGGGAATGGGGAATGTGAAGGTCTAGAACATTACTGTACACTTAGACTTTATATACACTGTACATTTAGGCTACACTAAATTTATATACATATTTTTCTTCAGTAATAAATTAACAGCACATTGTAACTTTTTTTCTTTATAAA